ATATATATATTACCTCTTCCTAAAAAATGGCAAATTAAAGCTTGGGCTAGAAGCATTTGTCCACTTCTTAACATGCAACCCCATCCACAATCACTACTGTAAGTAGAACCATTTAACACTGGAAACTCTCTGCGATAAGTCAACCATAATCTACTGGTAAAATCACTTTTAAAGCCTTCAAAGTCATCTTCTTCATTATTTGATATCTACAAACATTAAAAATACACCAACTGCATTAATTTAATTTTGCTTAATTACATTGCTATTGCTGTTATAAGCAGCAATGTCCATTCCTTCTTCAGTTGAATCATGCGGTTCAACTTTTTTATAACATTTTCCTAATAACCACACTGGAGATTCTTTAGAGAAATTTGTCTTTAATTTCATCCCTATAAATATGATTCATTACTTGTTAAAAGTTATAGATGTATAATATTTTTACCATATTTCATGTTATTCCACATAGACAATAAACGAGTCTTTACTTTCCCTTCCACATCGTCCTCTAATCGAGAATTATTAGGTGAGCCTGAAGGAGTACTAGTTGTGCTGGAATTTATACGAAAAAGAAATCCAGTTGATTTTTCCCGAAGTGGAATTTGAGTATTCATCCTCTATTAATTAAAGCATAATTTCTACAGCTACAACTCACAAACGTATTACTGATATTTCTTCGTTTTAAGTCATCTCGTCATCATTAATTTTACATTTTGTGAACTATGTTTTGTGAATATTTTACTTCGTATTTTGTAAAAAACCGATAACGACTCCCCATAACTGTCACGAACATGTCATGGGCATAGAGGTCATGAGTACCCAAACCATAGATAACGCCATAGATTAAAGGATAACACCATAGATAATAGGATAACACCAATTGACCACTGACAAATAGATACATTAATACCATATATAGGTACTTACCCTAATTATACCCTAATAAACGATTAATAATTGTAAAGTATTATTGGTCTCTAATCCGTTTTAAAAATTTTTAAACACTTAAAAATATTTCTTGATCTAAGACAATATATACATATTTACTTCAATATTATCTAAATTTTGAATATTTTATTTATATCATTTTGGAAGATGGGTTCTCCTGTTTTCAGAGTGCTTCAATAAAAATCATCTATTTACAGATTTATTTTTAACTTAATTTTATTTTGTTGTTTATAATACGTCTCTGTAAAAAGCATCTTTTGCTTGAAAAATTTTGATGTTTTAAAAACGTAAAATACACTTTTTACTGGTGGTTAAAATTACCACAGAGCGGAAGAATAGGGGGTAGAGTGGAGGACACTAGGATTATAGCACGTTAAATACAGTTCAAGGTTATTCTAAACGGTTATAAATACTTTTTTTAATTTTAAACTTTAGAATCCAGCGATCTGAAAAACAAATTAAAAAGGAACGAAATGTAATGTCAAGAAAAGGAAGAAGGTTTGTTTCCCAAGTCAACATAAATCAAAATACATTTTGGTACTTTCAGCTCGTTTAATAAGGCATAAATTAATTTATCCTGAAATAAATGGGGCGCTTATAAATTGGGGATTGAAAGTACGTCTTGGTAATTTCTAACAATAAAATTTTTTCATTTAATTACATTTTGGTACTTTCAGCTTATTTAAAATTAAGTTAAAAATAATTTTCTTAATAAATGAAGTTTTTTATCGAGATGCTCTAAAAAGTAGAAAATAAAGAAATAATCTTCCAAAGAGATGATATAAAGGAGAAAAGTTTTAGATAATTCTGGAGCGGTAGATATTTCCCTCCATCAACAAAGGGCCTAATCTGGCAATAAATGAGCTATTATTATTTGAATAGCATTTTATTACATTTATGACATAAATTAACATAGCAGAGACGATACTTGTAACTATTAAACCTAAAATTATCAAAATAAATATTAACACTGAAATGAATTGTGAATCCCAAAACTTATATACATAAAAATGTGTGAATAACAAGACGTGTGTTTATGTATGTGGGTCTGTGTGAGCGTGGGTTTGTATGTATTATTAATGGTATAACTGTGATAATATTCAATTCCTAGGCATTGCGTTTATTAAAATTAACATAAATATCTTCAAACAAAAAACGAATTTTTAATATTTTTTAAATACATATAGGAAATATGGCGATTATATTTAATAAAGATACATTGAGTAATGTGATCTCCATTTATACCTCTACTTTAAATGGTGAGCCAGGAATATGATCGTCTCCCCATTTTACAATCACAAGATAGTCTCCCCTTTCTCTCACCACATAATTTACTGTGTACTGATTATGACCAGAATGTTTTACAAATACCTCCTCACACGGTCCCTTCGGCCCAATTATTCCCACAAACAAGATGTTATTACCTTAATAAATTTTTAAATAGTTATTCAAATCTGCTATTTCTTTTAATTCATTGATTATACACATTTATTTTCATTGGCTTACCTGCAGTTCCAGCAGAAACGGTAAATTGATTTTGTTTTCCAATGTAAGCCTTCTTAAGGCCCATTCCCTTGGATGATACTTTAGAAGCATCACTTTTGAAATGAGGAAGAACAGGACTCTTATGACCTCCAGTGTCTTTGCTTACTTTGGCTACCGTTTCGACAATTACCGATGACGTTTCTTGGGCTCCAGTATCAGCCAGTTGTCTATCTCCTAAAATAAATTATTAGTAAGATAATTCAATCTATTGACCAAACTGCAGCGACTTTTTAATGATTAACTGCACCTACTGGAAAATATTTATGAACATAATAAATAAATGTAGGCTTTCACGGTCGGCGTCCTCAGTGCCAGAAAACCCGAAAATAAATAATAATATTTGTGAACATAATTACCTTTACATGCAACTTTATACGGAGAGCCGACAATATGGTTGTTGTTGTATTTTACGCTAATATAATAGTCTCCCGGAGCCAAGGGTGTATATCGAACTTTATATCCTTCTTCTACTTCGGTACAATCCATTGAAACTTTACTTGGACCATCAATAACTACGGCAAGAGTACCTGCTCCAGCATTTACAGTATCAATAATAAAGTCCGTTTTAACACCTGAAATAAATACAAAAAAAATGTTAAGAAACAATTATAAGAGACCATTATGATTTCACAGACCAGTCTTAATTTCCTTTATTCCTGGTCCGTGTGCATGGACAGCGGCTGGGTCAGCAGTATCTTTTCCGACTTTAATACCAAATGGTGAGCCAGGGATATGGACACCGTTAAATTTACAGTGGATTTTGTGAATTCCATTCTCTCTGGGCATAAATCTTACAGAATATTCATCCATGTCAATCAACTGAATGAAACAATCATCTTCATGCCCGGAAGGTCCAACAATCTAAATATAAATAATAATACTCTTACGAGTGTGCAATAAAAATAGAAGGGTCAGAAAGTTGCTTTGATTATGTGCAACATATAAAATGAAGTGGAACTGTACAGTTTTCATCTGTTAAGAGAATTCGTTTGACGTGCTTAAACTAATAGGTGACTACCTTGGCGTCTAAATCTCCTTTGGCTCCATTTTTCCTTACTATAAAGTGAGATGGGGTATCAGCTTGTACATGCCCTTCAGGAAATTGAGCCACTTCCAATAAATGTGCGTCCCCAACAGCTGGAGAGATGTAAACCTTGTATGGTGAATCTGGTACGTGTTCATCATTAAATTTCAACCCAATGCGGTATTCGCCTAAAATAAATTTACTTTTAAACAGGCGCGTTTGTTGGTTTTTATAGTACGATGAAAAATATGAAGGGTATCTGACAAACGCAAATCAAAAACAAAAAGGAAATTATTACATAGATAACAATAAAAAGAGATTTATTTTTGCTTTACAATCGAAATCAAGATTACCTTTGACGGTGTTACTTGCCAAATTTCTTGCATTTGTGTATGATTCACATTTAATCAGATTCCCTTTGAATACTTTCGCTTTTACCACACAAAGTAACACAAAAATAAAAGCGTTTTTTTTAATTTAAAATCAACATGTTAACCACCTTCTGAATTCTGTTGTGATGGAGATGGTGCTAAACAAATTTCATGGGAAGTTTTGAACATTTTCTAGGAACTGTTGGTAACGATGTAAAAAACAAAAAAGCAACTAAATAAGAATAAGCGTAAACATCGTATGTATAGAATAGTCATAGAGAAAATATCCGCGAAATATAGAATATATGATTCAAATTTCTAAAATTAACTATTTATGTTACCTTGAAGTCTGTTTTGTCAAGTATAACATTCAAATTGCAAAATTCTTGATTGGAACCGTGCCAAATGAAACAGTTACCCTAACGAATTCGTTCAAATTCACAAAAAAGCGTGTAAACATTAAACGGTTATTTCTGATTTGATTAATAAGCATTAAAATACTCATACCGATCCTAGTTCATATATAAAAAATTAAGAAAATGAAGATTCACCTGGTTCAGTGACTTTATATGAGACATCGCAAGATCCGTCTCTACGATCAGAGAAATTTATAACAGCTTTGCTAGGGCCCTCGACCGAGATTGCAAGTTGTCCTCCGCCTGCTTCTCGAGTCCATACATTAAATTCGTTCCATTCTCCTTGAACACCCCTTTCCAAACCTCCACCACCTGCTTTTACTAAATGAGCACCATGATCTTTAAGAGGTCCTACTGTGAACTGGAATGGAGAACCTATAAAAATTATATTTTCGTTTTGAATTGTGTAATAAAAGATTTAAGTTTTTGTGAAGTTTATTTGGGAAAAACGCGATTTTGTTTTGACAATGTTCCTATTCACTTACCAGGTATATGAATGTCCTTATACTTAACAGAGACAGTGTGAACACCAAGTTCTTTTGGTACAAAGTGGACAGCGTAAAGTCCATCTTCAACCTCATTGATAACAGCATCTTCAGTTACTCCACCAGGTGAAGTAACATGAGCAGAAAGATCAAAAGATGTTATTCCTAGAGAAAGAAATTGTAAGAACTTATTTTGCCGAAAAGTAATGAAAATTATTTTCAAATGTTTTCCCGGGCTCTGATTTAATATCCAGGAAAACAGAACATGTTGGGAACAATAATACGTTATATTTGCATATGCAAACTCAATTAATTAAAAAAAAATACCTGGCATTTTAAATGTTAATTTGCACTGGCTTCCGACTTCGGTGATTGGTACTGCTTCTCGTTGCCTTTGAATTTTTTCTCGTTGCCTATTTGAGCCTTCGCCGACTACCTATAAAGTGTGTATATCGTATATCTTATCTTACATATTTAAATAACAAAATAATTAGAAGTAAATAATTACATATTATAAAAAATATTAAAAAATATGTATAACAAAAGAAAAAAATACAAGAATTTTACTTGTACTTTTTTTTGTCAAAACTTAACTTCATTTTAAACAATAATAATTTAGAAAATAAGTTTGCTTACCTTAACTGTAAATGGAGAGCCATCAACATGATGGTCGGCGAACTTCAAATTAATGATATAATAACCAGGTTCGGTTGGTTTATAAGAAATATTTAGGGTGCCATCCTCCTTATCATTGCACTGTATTTCAGCTTTGCTAGGACCCTCGATGGATAGAGAGAGCCCTCCATATCCTTTTTAAACACCAATTATAACAAATAATTTTGCCCTCTATTTCGTTCCTTTCAGTAATTACTTAATAATAACACTTGTGCGTATATGCACAAATTAAAATACAGGAAGCATTTCGCAATACTTATCACGCTTGGCGGTTTAAATTTTACCGATAATTTTAAAGCTTCCGTATAAAATTATCTGTTAGTCAATAAATATTATTTTCAATACAAACTAAAAGGTCTAAAAAATATCATACAGTTATATATAATTTTTCGAGTTATATGTATCTTTGAAAGAACATTAACTTCCTGGCCAGCAATTTATCGATGTGAGTAGCGATTTCTAACTTATTAGTTCTCATCAACACACTTTACGTAGTTTCTATAAATTACCGACCAAACCGAAGTTATGATGCTGTTGACAGTATATCGCCATCTATTGATATATACAGCTAACTGTAGCATTTCATATGCTTTACAAGGGCTTTAACAAGGTATCTATCTTGTCAAACATATGAAGTACTACAGTTAGAAGGAATACCTGAGTGTGTCAAAGATAGTTTTCAATTAAAAGTAGAATTAATAAGTAATTAATGAATTAGATCACATTTTAAAAAATAACTTTGTGAAACTAACCAAATATTTTTCATCGTTTTCTTTTTGATAAATAAAATTATTTATTTACCTGCATTTCTTGTGTCGACAGTAAATGTATTATCGACATGAGTTTTTCCTTCCTTGAGTGCATTTCCGGAAACTTTAACTTTTTTAGCATCACCAACTTCTCTTTCACATACGTTTATTTTGAAGGGCGAATTGGCAATGTGCTTTCCCATTTTCTTGACGGAAACAACATGTTCACCGATTTCACGTGGAGTGAACGAAATACCCATATTTCCGGTGGGTAGCCTCTTCAAAAAGCAAGGTTCTTCTAGTCCACTAGGAGCTTGAATCGACGCATTTAAAGATCGAATATCTGCATCAGAAATTTTTCCTGGAAGCGAAACTTCACTACAAGAACCAACTGATATTTGATTTCTTTTCCGGCCTTCTCCAGTTATTTTTGAAACGAACGGTGATCCTTTGATATGTTTATCTCCGAATCGAACGGATATCTTATATTCGCCAGGGGCTGTTGGTAGATAAGAAACGGAAACGGTGCCATCTTTGTTATCGTGGCAACTAATTTCAGCTTTGCTGGGACCTTCCACGGCCATAGAGAGTCCTCCGGCTCCTGCACCCTTAGTGGAAATGGTGAAGTTGCTCGGTTCACCACTCACCCCATGAGTTAGTCCAGAACCATAAGCCGTAACATAACCAGAACTTATAGAGTCTACATGGAATTTAAATGGCGATCCTTGAACATGTTCTCCATTGAATTTTACAGACAACTCGTGAAGTCCCTCTTCACGAGGATCGTATTTAACTGAAACTGTTCCATCATGGTTGTCTTCGATTACCGGCTTGTCTACTTTTCCGCTTGGCATTTTCACTTCGGCTGCAAAAAAGGAAAAGCTTTTTTAAAGAAATCCTGCTCGTTCTAAATATTCAGCTTCTTTTTCTGCAGATATGAACATTTTTTCGAAACACATTTTCAGCATCAGTTTCAAAAAATATATATTTAAGAGAGAAATTTCAACGTTATTTTATTCGTTCATTTTTATCTGTATACTCCAAATTAATTTGAAAAAATACTCATTCAACTTTCATATGCATACATAAATGTTTCAAAGGTTTGACGGTATTAGTTTGAGAAGTTTTTTTCCCGAACAAAGAGTTATTACTCAAATACAAAATTTCGTTCTTTTTTATAGAATAATGTAAAGCTGTAGTAATTAATAAAAAATAATTATCAACGCACAAGCTATTAAAAATATCTAACATAAAAAAAGAGTTATTTGAGTAAATATTTCGTCGGGGTTACATAGTCGTAAATAACTGTTGCAAGCATATTAAAGAATTCTAAATATCAACTGCACGACACGTTTACCAAAACAGTTTGTTTTCTAAAAGAGGTGCAAATTCTTTAATCCACCAACGCAATATCTTGCGTGTAAGAACGCTTTTGGTGGGTTACGGGATTAACAATATGTATTTTTAATCGCATATTTTTCGGAGTAAAAATAGCGGGTTAAAATTACGATTAACGCATAAACTGTTGATACAAGGTGCGAAAAACTGGAAACAGAATGTATGTAATGTGCTTTTCTGAATTCTTCCTTTTACGGCAGAAAGATAGCAATAAGTTGAACTTTTTTCGGGAATTAAGTAACAAAAACGTTTTGACGAGTACCTTTATGAGTGTGGATAGTATAAACAGTTAAGAAAGTGATTGGCTCAAAATCTACCCCAAAACCCTTTCCACCAATCGGTATGGATGGGACGTTTAGGTAGACAATCGGACTTTCTTCGCGATCAACAGTGGAATATGTTAAACATTTAAAAAACTCCAGATAAAGTTGATTAACTTCGTTCCAAGTAGCTTCTTTGGGTTCTGGAGTTGCCAGCCAAGAAAACATAATCCACCGCACCAAAAAAGCATCAAAATTGAAAACTAATTGTTTACTATTTCATATAAAGGCACTTGTTATGCTGTCACTATCACAATTCCTATCAAATATTTTTCTAATTGTAAGAGTATATTCTTTATTTCTTTCGTATCGGAAGAAAGATCAAACACTATAAAAGTTGGTTGAAGTTGATGCTTCGTCCGCACTCTAGATAGGAGATGTTCTAACTGACGATCGAATAAAATTTTAGGGTAGAAATATCACTGTCAAAAACTTTAATAACTCGCAAGGCAACAGCTGCACTTGAGAAATATGTAAGGTAAGTCCAAAAATACTCAAGTTATGTTTTCTAAAAAATTGGGTTAATCACGGAAGGTTTATTAGAGTGGGACACCAAACTATTTACCCAAAACGCAAGTTAATCGTTTGTTGACTTTCCTTCAGTTTTAGTAAACTATTCGATAATTTTGAATTACTCGCATGATGTATGAGTGTACGCAGCTGCCGGAGCGTATGTAGTCTTTAATAAAATCACACTTCAAAATTTATTACTTAATTTCCTCAAGACATATTAATTTTGTCATCGACTTTTCATCGATAGTTGATAAAAATCGTTTGGTTTAGGAAAACTAAAACAAATCAATTTATTAACTCCATAAGTTAAGTTAAACTTTTCAGTGTTGTTTTATTCTTCCTAAAGTAGTTACAAAAATATTTCATAAGCAATGTAAGTTTAAAAAAGACATCAACTGCAAATATTAAATAAATTGAGAAAACAACGTTTGATACTCAATTTTATATAACTTTTTAAAGGTGTAAAAACTATAAAGTCAGAATTCTTTTTGTAATTGCTTATTTAGCATAATAAAATTATTTTTTAAGGACAGCGTCAATCCTTTTAATATTTTTAATTTAATTTCCCAAAAAAATTATCCTAGCGTTGTATCGCCTCTGAACAGTACATAAGTTCGTCCAGTCGCAAAAGTTTCATTTTATTTTTGATAAAAATATTCATTTCAATTGGAATTACATTAAAAAACGTGCACATTTTTTGTGTGTAGCTGTGTTTTATTAAATATAGGTATGCAGATTTTGATGAGTTGGCATACATTCGAAAATTTATAATGCACTCAATAAATCTCCGTACTTTTATGAAATTCTACACGGATGTAGTAATAATTTATACTTTAACGTAAACTAGAAATCCCTTCTTCTCAGTTATTAATATTAGAAAATAATTGCAGTGGTGTAGTGCGCAAACTGCAATTTATCGTTTTCTCATTTCTTTTAATTTTTTTTAACATATCCGTTTGAAATCATCGACTATTAATAAAAATTTAAAATTGTGTCAATATTGTTTATATGGGCAAAATGCGGCTATTGAAAACAAACTTTTTTATCGAAAGAAGAAAGAAAGGACTGTTTCAGAATTTCGTAAAATAAAGAGTAAACATTACTGCAGTGGTATTTTTATTTTTAGCAGTGAATAGCATAGCAGGACTGTGTTAAGTTGTGGTAGGTTAAGTTTAAACACCATTTAATTCGATATTTGTGTGTAAATATGTATGGAGTTTCAAAAAGCTGTAAAAATACCCTTTGCAATACACGCTTGATTGCTTACGGAGCTGCGCAAAGTCCACACCAAAGATGCGCTCGAAGCTTTAAGCCCAAAGCCATTACTTAGAGTGTTTTAGCCCTTGAAGCTCCAACTACATTTTAAAATCCAAGAATTTCGAATTACCAAGTATTTCAAGCACATTGACAAAAGTTTGAAGCTAATTAAAAAGCACTTCTATAAAGTAATTCGTGTAATTCGTTCATCAGCTAGTATTAAAGTTTTTATAAGTTTCAATTAGGAGGTCTCAGATTCAATTTAATGCAGATTATAGTTTGCAAAAAAATTACAAACGCTTCTTTATTCTTTTTTCGCGATTGATATAAAAAAAGACAGTTGTATAGTGTCAATGTCAAAGTCGTTCGTAATAAATATATGAACCTATTAATAGAAAGAAATACAAAGAAGTTTGATTTCTTGGCTCGAATATTAGTTTGTTTATGTTTATTAAACGAAAACACGCGCAGCATCGGCGTTATATTAACCGTTAACGTTTTCAAATTTTTTGTTTAACATATCATATATACTCAGTTTATTTGCTTCGAATGTTCCAATTTTAATATACACCACGTACGTGCAGATATGTAGCGCGTTTTGGACTCATAATTCGGCCATTCATGTTTCAAATTCATAGAACGCAAACATATAGATCTACAAGTATGTTCTGAATTCGGAACAGACCACTATTCGGTTAATTCAGTAAAGGAATTTAAAAAAAATGTTTTCCTTTTTATTATTTTTTTTTTTAACAACTACCTGAATATAAATAAATCAAAAAACTTGTTAACTGCGGACACGTGTTTCACCCACTTCTAATAATAATGCTGATGAAACACGTGTCTATAGTAAACAAGTTTTGCTTCTTTTTGGTTTACTTACCATTGCTTAGCCAAATACACGTATGTATTTCTTATATTCTAATAAAAATATACAATATGATTATAATTAGTGCATTTACCTACCTGAGACTTTGCCTCCTGCAGGAGGAACAGGAATGTTATCTAAACTGATTGGTCTGAAAGTGGTCTGTTTATTCGATTGTGTGGTACTGCTGCTGCTGCTAGTCCTCTTTGTCTCTGAATGATGAGTTTTGGTGACACTAGTTTTTTCTGACTTTTTAACTTCCTCTTCTGCCTGCAATGAAAGTAATATTTTGGTGGAGGTCTTGTTCAGATTCACAGTAGTTTTTTTTTGCGGCCAAGTGACTTAATTAAAATCCCAATTTAATGCTTAATTACTAACCGCAAATTCTAGTACCTAATGGGCCGTATTCCGCATACTATAATTTAATAAGAAATACTATTAGCTTCTGATAATCGTATGATTGATTTTATATACCGGATGTTCAAGAAACTTTAAATAATCCTTAAGTAATCGCTAATTTTGAAGCATTCTTTTACATCCTGTAACTATTATCACATTTCTTATCCCTTTCTAGAAGTTAATAAAATAATTTTGTGACATTTTTCTAGGCACCTATAAGTTTCAAAGAACATGCTAGACGCAGTTGCCAACTATCTGTTTCCGTCCGAAATCCAATTTTGAAATCATTTCTGACATTAGCCCTTCCACAAAATATAACCTTATTACTTAAATATAAATACGACAGGTATAATTTAAAGAAGCAATCTCATACGAAAAAAAGAAGGGGCGGGTGACATTAGCAAACGATCTTGGCACGTGGGTATCTACGTGAAATCATTGCGTTCGTTATTTTCTTTTTAATTTATCTAATTCTGGAGCATATATTTCGATATCATTTCGAAAATAGATGATTGATTAACTTATGAATTAATGTTTGAAACATATTACCTACCTAACAGCTTTCATAATTTATTTGACATACAGTTGGTCTGGTATCGACATATTGACGATGATTTACAAATATAAAATAATAATTTTCTAAATAAAGCATCCCAAAAAAAAAATTAACTGTATCTCTCGAAGTAGTTACAAATTTTAGAAACACTTGACGTATTTATGTGTCGATTGGAGTCGGATTTTATTATTAAAACAAGCAAAATAAGTTATATTTTAATTAATGGAAGTTTTCTTTTATGTTGTGATAGCGTGAGATTGAGCATATATCAACGACAAGTTTTCAGGTGTTAAAATACTTAACTGGCCTTTCTATTTTCATCATGTTCATTATATTTAAAATTAATGAGTTACTTTACAAGAAAGTGTCATGCTACTGTTGCTGTACTAATATCGGACAAATTATGTCATCAATTATCTAATTTTCAGTTACGTATTAGATATACGATAAAATGAAGATGCTATTCATTTTTTCTTTTTTTTTAACGAAAGTGTAGAACTTCACGGTTCTCTTTTGAATATCCATAATTCAGATACTTTGAATAATATATTTCAATTTTAAAAAATCAGATAGTCAAATTTTCAAATATATACATATCTAAATATTTGATGATTGAGTCTCAACTGTCTGGATTTGCGAATATGTGTATTTGAATGAATATTTGGATATTCAAATCAAATTAAATCAAATATTTAAAGACCTACTTATAGATACGAAAACTTCAAACTCCTAGTTAAAATCTATTGGCAATACATTCCAATACAGGTCCATGGTATATGCATATTTATTAATGAATGCCATTGCAATAATAACAGTTTTCTTAAAATTTAACATCATTAACGCATTGTTTGCTTTTAGCAGGGCAGTGCATCTGTTTGAAATAAATTAAAAATTGAGTGAGCGCCAAATGTTGCAGTTTGAATATATGATCCTACTTAAATTTTAAATGTAACCTCTTCATGTGTCTTAAAAAAATCACCACATACTCTTGTTACTTTAAATGTGCAAGTTTTAGAAGTGAAAAGATTCCTTCAGTTTTTATTAATTTTTACACGTGTTGCACATTGGAAAGTTCGGCGCGTGAACAAGAATATAAAATGCTCCTGGTCTAAATTTAGATCAAAATGTCAAACAATCCCGACAGATAAATTTTACAATTTAACGATTTTAAGTTTAAAAGACGGAAGCGAATCGAGACAATATGTTATTGAATCGAATATTGTGTGTAAACATATTGGTGCCATCAATTAATTCAATTCTGATTTGTTTGTTTGTCGAAAAAATTGGTGTAAAAGACTTTAAGAAGCTTACATACAAAAAAATAACTAAAGTTGTTGTTAATAGCTATGAATTTGATATAGGACGTAGTCAGTTTTTTTTTGCGTGAGCCAAGGGTGGGCCATGTAACTCAAAACTTCTTGAGTTCCCTGATAATGTCAATACATACTTCGTACATAGACAGGAAAAGTAGGCAATAATTCAATAATATAGGTCGCATGTTTATTTCGTTCCCTGGTGCATTTTATTGGGCAGGTATTTATTAATATTTTTGCATCATTAATTCAATATTAATATTAATTTAAATAAATATGCATTAAGAAAAAAGTCTTGGGCTGTATCAAATTGAATGAATGCGGAACTGTCTAGCGCATTAGCTCAAGCGAGCCCACCCGTAGTTACAAAAAGTTATTTTCCTAATTTAACAGTTAATGTTACTAATTAGGATGTCGGATGATCTTGTTTATTTAGCAGCATTGATATTTTAATTAACAACGACAGGGAGCTAAAAGAATTGGAAACTTTCGAAATAGGCATGTTTATTGGTGGATGCCTGCCACGCTTTAGGTGTCCCCGACATGGTACCATAAAAACCAATACATATTTTTACATGTATGCAATTATATATTGCATACGTGTACGTCGGCACAAACAAATGCGAAAATGTGTGTATATGTATAATATGGGTCGCCCGCTCTATTTATTATCCTGTCCGAATGGTCGCCACCTGCCTTGCATTTCTCATGTTACGCTCGAGCGGATGGACGGATGTGACCGGTCGGTAAACGACGCCGTCGACGCCGCGACCCAGCGACGCTTCAACTCCACCTTACCGTCCCGTCCATCCTGATACTATTTTCAGTTTTGGTATCTTGACATCGAAGACTATCAAGACAGCAACCTTACAAGCTACATCATTAATTAAAGTGAATATTATTTGCATAGTTCGACCAGTGGGAAAAAGCACACGGGCACATGATAACAAAATTAACTTTTTTCTTGGGAAACTTCTGTCATAATGACACCATATCGCATAGGGCTACTCAATCACGATCAGTAGAAAATTACTTTAAATAAACCAAGAACTATCCTGCATTTGCAGCTTTCTTCAAATTATCTTGTGATTGCTATTTTTAATACAGTAATATTTTCGGATGTTTTATAAATGATTATGATGTTCCATTATTAAAACTTTTGGCGAACGTTTTGAAGCTTTTATTGCAACTTTAAAGAATCTAACACGGTAATTAACGATACCATTTTGGATGTTATCCTATGAACTGTAGAGCCAAAACGCACTCATTTACCTTACAGTTTATTAGACCACAACAAATTGAAGTGTTAATTCTAACTAATCGCAAGTAGAAATAGTCGGATCTTTACAGCTATAACAAGATATAAAAGATTGGAATATTTCGAGTTTTTCTCAATAAAACGGAAATAAAAAGTCTCATGAACTTGTGATGTAAATTTTATTTTGATTTTACGTCTCTATAATGTGCCAAAAGCTATTAGGTCAAATATTTATGCGATAAACTTGAAGCGTTCTCTAAACGTGTGAACCTAATTATTTTGTTTTTTTATGTATTTACGATAAGTTAAAATCAGTTCATGCCTATTGTCAAGTTTTGGACACGTGTTAGACATTTTTAACAGACTACAAAAAAAAGGAGGTTCCCAATTCGACTATATTTTCTTATATATATACGTGTTCATCATGCGTATGATAAATGAGCTTTTCCAATACATAATAATTTATTACACTATTCGCTTTTACACGCGACTTCGTCCACGTACAACTATTTTTAATTATTTACGATAAATACATCTTTTATAATTTAAAAACAATTAAACGTTAAGTTTCATCTAAATTGGTTCAAACTTTTCGATTATTGGTCAACAGGCAGAAGGGCAAACAGAGAGACAGACCAACATACCGAAAGACACATATACACAAAGACAGACCACAATTTTTTAAGGGTTGTTTGTGTCTTAATTAGCACACAAATAACGATATGATCTTAAAAGAAGGCAGTTATTACAGCGACAATTTTACTTATTTATATAAACGTCTGAAATGTATAACTTTGTTCTCTATTTCTTTGTCTATTAGAAGTTCTAAAAAGTTCTCATCTATATCTTTTATTATAAGTCCGGAGACACCAAAGTCTTCCTACTGTGTATCAGTAATTAATTGTCGTTATATGGCGCTAATTTAAATACAATAATGTATATTACATTTAAATTAATGCTCAAAATTTAATGAGTTATACAGATCTGTTGTGACTTCTGTCATCATTTGTGTACAATTGTCAATATCAAAACTACTCAGGCGCTAAATACATCAAACGTATTAATTAAATTTTGAAAAAGTGCCAACCTACGTATACTTTCTCATTTGCCGAAAGAATTTTGGCTGAGATTTCTTATCAAAAATTCCTACTTTTCGTAATTTTAAATAGGGACGTTATATACTTCTATCAAATAAACAGAATATTCATTTGAAAAATACAGTCAGCATTTGGAAAATTGCTGGTGTCTTAGTAATGAAATAAATCAATTTTATTTAATAGACATTAAAGCAATAGTTTGTAATAGATAGGAAATATAAATGAAAGATTTGAAAAATATTAATTTATAGGATTAATACGAAGTGTTGACGCCATAAAGTTTTAAAATAGTTTTGTGAGGAAACTGCTACATTGCTACTAAGAAAATAAATATAATTATCACCGATTTGACCGAATTTTCACTATTTTAAAGACATAAACCCTTCACATATGTTATGGAAGGAATTTCAGTTAGATTTCCCAAGAAAAATAGCCAGAACATAAAATGCAAAATGTGCATGTTACCTAATAATTAAACTTTTGGTAAATGAGCAACATGGTATATTTAAAGTCATAAATTCACAGATGTGGGAACTAAAATTCGAACAAGTTTGCTTGTAACTTATGTATATTTAGATCTAACATAACGACTAAATTATACGTTTTCCAACATGTGTATTTGTCAGAGAAAATTGTTTGTAACTGCAATAATAAATAATTATTACTGCAAACACTGTTTTAGGAATTTACATTATGCCTAAAATACGTTTTGTTAAAATTCAGTTAATTCCTCGTAATAATTTAGTTAGTACACTTAGTAAGGGACTAATAAAATTAGTATTTTTAATGTACGTACCTACCACAGAAAATACTTGTTTAAAAGTTATATGCAGTTTCGCTACTTTAATGAGATATGCACCTAATAAAGATGAGAGTAACTATTTTTGGAATAATGAAGAAAATTCGAGCTTAATCAAAGCGTTAGCTGAAATCTTAATTTTAAAAGCAGCGTTAAAGACTCTTATAAATTACCGCCAACTAAAACTAAAATTAAATTTCTAATTTACATGAACTACTGGCAAGTATTTCTTGCAATAATACCGGGGAAAATCCAAAGTTACAGCATAAAGAAAGCTAAAAAACAGTTTAGTTTTCAGTTAGTCAATGATAAGAGACATACCTCTAAAAAGGACTAAGATGACACGGATTGTAAGGGAACGATACATTAACTAACTTATAAAGTTAGACAATAAAATTTCTTGCACGTTCAAGTTTGAAAAATTTCGGGTACCGCCTACAGACGAGGCCCAAACACTCGGTAATTTTCGATTGTTCTCGGGAATAGTATCCTTTTTGAACCCGCAAGCAGTAAAAAAACATTTGTCCTTAAATTTGCTACGAAAAAATTTTTCCCTACGAAAACCTCCACTTTGGAGAAATGAGACAATTTAATGTGGAAAAGTAAACTAACGTATTCTATAAAGAAAACAAGTCCTAAATTTGTAACGTAATGTGGGAGGGGAACAAAATATGACGATCCACTATTATAATTTGTTACATGAGTGAGATAGCAGAATAGTGAGAAAATAAGGCAGCCTGCACAATTTTAATAATAATTTCACCCAACAAAGCCTTTTGCTGTTCATGATATCCTAAAAGTTTATTGTCATGCCAACAGAATAATGTTCATAAGAATGTGTTAATTTTTTTTAATAATTACTTTAGAATTATGTATTAGTACTACTTGTTGCATTGAATTGTCGGAGATGTAAGAGTTACAAGCACTAGTAGGAGCGCTTCTTAAATTACATCAAATTTATATTCTAAAATTGACTTTAGAGACTGAATCTCAGGCTTGAGCATAATTATACCTTGTCCTAAAATAACATGCTGCATTTGTAGCTATATTTTATTTTCGTTTTTAAGGGCAAAATCTCAATCAGCATTTTTATGTTTCGCGATTTTCTTGGCAGTCTTTGGTTGTTAATGGCAGTTGGGTAGTATAAATATAAAATTTACCGCAGATTTGTTTTGCAGTATTATTTTTAACTGAAGACAGACTTCTTTTATTATTCTTTTAAATCAACACGTAATTTGCATTTGAATTGAACAGATGTTAGAAGAAGAATATTAAAAGTGTTTTTCTTTTCCAAAACACAAAATATTTATAATAACTTTTTTGCGTATAAAACTGTCAAACAATATTTGCAATATATAAATACTAGCGCACAATTTTTTAATTATTATGACTTCCTAATAAAAGTCTTCTTCCTACAAAAATAGGCCTCAACTTTCACAATTACCCTACTTTTTTTGTCAAAATCTCTAGTATATATGAAATGCATTTTTAAATTAATTTCTACCAGAATATGTGGTTGATTAAATAAGTAAATGGGTACCAAACTTGAAAAATGCGTTCAAATGTCGACTTAGTACTTGGAAATAATTTTGACTCCTATGCAAACTTTTCGTTATTAGAGTTGTTCAATTAAATTATTAAGTACATATACCTAACATCATAATTTTGTCATCAGATGTTTTCATTATTGGTATTAGAAATTGCATTTGGAATCAGCCCAATATTAAACGACAATATATTAACGCGATTGGTTAATGAATGTTTAGACATAAAGTACAGAACATAGATTGTTATTACAAGCAGTTTACGTGTCTCAATAAACTTAGTTAATTAATTCAGCTAATTTATTGAATAATGAGAGATACCTAATTAATAACTGCAATTTATTTTCTCAATAAAAAATGTAAAACGTTTAGAAAATTTTTAGAATAATAATTTCAAACTGTTCCATGTGTGGTCGATTACATAAACTTTTCCCAATTTCGGTGATTAATAAAATTTGTGTAATACACTTTACCCAATTAATTATTTATTGTAGCATTTTCTTAGTTTGACGCTACTACCACATAAAGCTTATCAAATCACATACATTAAGCTTACAAAAACAAAATTTATGATGTTTAGAAAACTGATTAATTACAATTTCAAAACGTATTCCAAACATCATAAATTTTGTTTTTATAAGCTTAATGTATGCGATTTGATAAGTTTTATGTACTTCAATATAAATCCTATTTAATTTTACCCTTTACTAATAAATGTAAGTTTGTCTTTTAAAATCAGCTATTAGTAAATTTATTCTGACTGTAACTAAAAAAATTATAAATTAAACTGCGCGAAACCACATGTAATTAAATTTTAATTAATTAAACCTTTTCTGTATGAAATTATCAATATTATAACTTTAGATTGATAAATATATGTACTTATATGTATAAGTATAAGTATTTAAATTAAATTTGATGGTAAATGCCTCAAAAAAGTTTAATTTCTGACCGTTTCTTCAATCAAAATTTTATTCTGCTTAAAAAATATATTAAAAAACTGGACTTACCGTGAACGTGTAAAATCCTCCAACAACAGGCTGTCCTCCGAACTTTATGCTCACAGTGTACTCTCCTGCATCTTCCACGTTGTAGTAAATGCTGACGGTGCCATCTCCATTGTCAACGATGTCGATATCCACATCACTGAAGCAATAAAAATAAATTAATTAAGCATAAGGAATATTTACTGTACAAGAGTAATTTTTACCTTCCAGAAGTTGAACGGATTCTACAGGTAACTGCACCATAGCCGGCATTTTCCGTGTTTACCGTGATACAGTACTCCTCGCCACTCATTACAGTTTTTTGAACACCTTCAGTTATTTTGCATTTATCGGCCTATAACAAAAAAAAAAAATAAATTTGTTAGACAAACAAAATCAGAAATATCATGAACTATAAAAATGGTACTTCTCATGCTTATCAAAAACTACTTACATTTCCTGTGGCATGAGCTTGTATAGAAAACGGTGATTTTGGCACATCTTTCCCAGCGTATTTAATTTCAGCTTTATAACGTCCACAGTCATCAGGGACGAAGGTAGCTCCATAGGTTCGATCACCGTTATCAGTTATTTTAACAGGTCGTGGCGTACCATCAGGCCCCTTAAATTGTTTATTAACTTGTAGCTATATTCCTTTGTTTTCGAAAATCACGGCACTTACCACTATCCGTACTTCTAAGTCTCCATATCCGGCTTCATTTGTATCAATTTTTATTGTAGTTGGAATAGATGCTGGAACACTTTTGTCAGTAGGAGCGATAACTTTGACTTTATCGGGTTCAGCATACGGACGTACTTTTATAGGGAAAGGACTGCAAGATATATTTTGGTTAGACATTTTTAAAATTAATAACCTTTAGACCTTACCTGTGAGGAATATCTTTATTGTTGTAAGTTATCTGAGCCTGGAGATTGGCTCCTTCGCCGGGAGGAACGTAGCTAACGTCATAAGTTCCGTCTCCGTTATCTACAACCTCAGGTTTTTTGGGCAAGGGTCCTTGATCACATTTAATATTCACAGCCAATGGCGCTCTTCCTGATTTAGAAGCGTCGATAGTAAATTTAGTTGGCACTCCTGCTCTAACTTTCTTCGGATCTAAACCTGGACCATATGCCTTTACTAGATTTGCATCCACGTCGCAATCAACATTAACCTGAAGATAATTATGTTTGATGTTGACATTTAATAAAAACATGTTTGCCATATTTCTACGTCAAAAACATTCAACTTACTTTGAAAGGCGAGCCTGGAATGTGCTGATCAGCGAACTTAATGGTGACGTCATACTCTCCAGGTTCGGTAGGAATATATTCAACCGAACAAGAACCGTCTCTATTATCTTTGCATGTCATTTTTGCCTCAGAAGGCCCTTCAATGGCCAATCCCAGACCACCTTTACCAGCTCCTGTAATCAAATGTATCAATAAAGAAAACGTTGAACTAAATAAAAGTTTTAAAGCTGCAGGCAATATATTGCCATCTAGTGTTATTTGCTGTAAACTAGGTATGCTACATATTTCCTACACCTGGGTGCTACTTATATCATTTTGCTTTTATGGAATAACTTCGGTTAGGTACTAGTGTATTGATGAGTGTTAAGTTCAAAATTACGTTTCATGTTTGGTAGTTTCAATAAAATAATCACAAACCAAAAATATATGTTGCTTACCTTTAGTTTCAACGGTGAAAAGATTTGGTTTGTCGACAAAACCTTGTTCCAATCCAGGTCCAAAAGCTCTACATTTCTTGGCGTCACAACCCCGTCTAACATTTACAACAAATGGAGAACCAGGCACTGGCATATTATTATAGAAGATATCTATCGTATGCCGGCCTTCTTCGAATGGAGTATAACTAACTTTGTAAGTTCCATCAAGTAATGGGGTTACCAATTTTTCAGTTTGAGCTCCCGAAGGATTTGTAATGGTACATGTTACTTTGCCGTCGTCGCCCTTCGGAATTGCTCGTGCGTCAACGGTGAATTCGGTTGGAGAGTCCACAAAAACACCTAAAAAAAAGAACATATTAATGTTGGTAATTAAACAAAGGGATACTGTACAAAATACACATGCATGAAAAATATACAGTATGACAAAACGTAAAGTCGTCTAAAAATTCTAAAATACAAAACTATTGTATACATTTTAATTTTTTACTGTTTTATTTTAAATATCACTGTTGCTACAAATACGTCACGTACAAATGTTTCATATTAAAAAATATTTAACTACCGTTTGTTAGTTGGGAATATTATTATTATATTAGGAACGAGTTTTTTTTTTTGTAAACTGTAGGTATAAGTATTCATTCGGTTTAGTTTAATCGGGAAATAACTAAAGGAACACACTGAGTAAGAACTAAATTTAGTAAAAGTGTATGGGGAGGAGTATATCAACAACGTCAATGTGCGAATCCTTTTTTCCAGCATCTAATACTGTTATTCAATATTAGACCTATACAATCCTTAACAATGAAAGAGGAAAAACAAACGATGACGATGCTCTTCTCCATGCCTCAAGCAAGGGATAATATAATAGTATGGTGCCCAAAACACAGAAAACATGCTCATCACATACAACAGACGTAACATCGATACAAAGTTGCCTGTTAGAAAAGCGCACACACTCTTTTACCATGCAACTGTATTCCGTTGCCAGACACTTTAATTTTGCTAATATCAACTTCTGGAACAATAAGTGCTTGAAAAGGACTTCCGGGTATGTGTTGATCATTAAAAGTGATGTTGATTCCATAATCGCCAGCTTCGGTGGGTAAGTAAGCAACAGAACAGGTGCCATCTCCATTATCCCTGCAGTTAATAGCAGCCTCGCAAGGACCTTCCACAGTAACCCCCAAACCCCCTTGCCCTGCTCCTCTGGTGTCGATCATAAATTCGGCGGGCTTGTTGACGATACCTCTATGAAGTCCCGGGCCAGAAACTTTCACCTTCATCGGATCGCCACCAGTTAGGCAAGTAAGTCGATAAGGCTTTTGGGATATGGGCTCGCCACCGAAGGTTATGCCCAGAAGGTATTCCCCAAGTTGTGTGGGTGTAAAATTTACTAAATACCCCTCATGTGTAGGAATAACATGAGCCTTTACTTTGCTACCCGAGGGGCTGGTTATCGATATGGCAAACTCTGCTTTGCCAGCATCTGGTGTTATTACTCGGAACTGTTGTAAACTGTTCACAGGTGCGGCTATTTTACAATATATTTGCGTGTAAAAGTTTTGCTTTTTAGTAAACTGCTTGTGCAGTTAAAATAACTATTTCTGTTGAAATTCGAACTAAAATAAAAGAAAATCCTGTTGAAATTCGAACAAAAATTCAAACTTTACTAATAAAAGTATGAGTTAATTATGGGAGTCATTTTGGTTCGAATTCCAAGCAAAAATTTTTACCGAATAAAATTAAAATTACTAACGAGTTAATTAATTACTTCCCAGTTGTAGTCCAACGTACTTGTGTCATTCTCTCCATTCTCACAATTTATAAAAGATAACATGCAAAACGTTTATGCTGACTGATATGATGTTCTTGTATAGTTTTGGATTCTTATGCAGTAAAAGTAGGTACCTACTACAAAAGTATGTATACTTACTAGGCTCTAGACCATCGACGCGAATTTTGGATACATCAACGCTCGGTTGAACCCTAAACTTTACTGGTGTGCTGGGAACTTTCAGTCCTCCATAATGGAGAGTGCAAGTATGAAGTCCTGATTGAGGTGCTTCATAATCTACAGTGTATGTTCCATCTTCATTGTCAGTTAGCTGCACTGGAACTTCGCGTTTGGTATCCTCATTTCTTAAAGTTACTTGTAGATCACCTTGGCCAGCCTCCCTAAAATTTTATTATAATACTATAAGTGATTTGAATTAGTACAGGAAAATTTGTAATTTACCTGGCATCAATATTGAAGTGAGTGGGGGTATTTGCTTTAACACCATCTTCTAAACCAGGGCCGAAGCATTGTACTTTCGAAGGATCTAACGGTTCCGAAACATAGACTCTGTAAGGAGAATTTTTGGTGGCAACTCCTCCAAAGTTGACTTGAATAGTATGTTTGTTGCCACGTGTCGGAGTGTATGCGCATTCTATTATTCCGTCTGGTTTCTGGCCAAGATGGATATCTAGACTGTTACAATTTGAGTCCATTACCTAAAATTTATTCTTCAATGTTAACTTAACACCAGTAATACCACAATAATAATTATTGATTAAGTGATTTACACCTACTCTGACATCTACGGGAGCAGATCCGGCTTTCCTGGTATCAATGAAAAATTTAGTGGGCTTATCTTTTTCAACTCCTGTAGGTTCTATTCCAGGTCCATAGACTTCGACCTTATCAGGAAAGTAATCAGTGCTAGGCAGAATTTGAGCAATGTAGGGGCTTTTTGGAATGTCTTCTCCGTCACAAAGGATGTGTACTGCATATTCTCCTGGTGCAGTTGGATAATATTTAATATCAGCCGAACCATCTTCATTATCATGACAATCTATTTTGGCTTGAGATGGACCTTGTATACTAAAACCTATTTACAAGGTTTTACGGTGAAAAAAATAAATAATTATTCGTAAATGTAATCATACCTAAAGCACCAGTTTCTCCATTCGTCTCGACGGTAAATAGAGCCGGGTAGTTTACAACACCCCCATTCAATCCAGGTCCAAAAGCACGGATCAGAGTTTCCTTCTGGGGGCCAACATTTACTTCAAAAGGAGATTTGTTGATTTCTTTACCGCCGTATGTAATCATGACGATGTAACGCCCTTCCTTCTGGGGGTGGTAGACCGCGTAATATGTATTACCATCAACCTGATGAGGTAAGAAGCAATAAAAATCTGTTAATTTTAGAGTAGGTACGTTTCAAACCTTCTGTATTTTGAATGGAACTTTTACACCTCCAGGTCCTATAATGTTAACATCTGGCTGTCCTTCACCAGCTCCTTCGGCAAATATTCTAAAATCTGCTTCATCGTTTACCCTGACGCCGGTAGGTTGCAAGCCTCTTCCACTAGCTCTAACTTTTCTGGCATCAGATACTTTAAGCATTTACAAACGTTGATTAGTACTTATTAAGAAATGCTGTAGTTCTTTTCGTTATCCTCACCTGGTGATATCCTAACAGGAAATGGACTTTTTGGTATTGGCTTCCCAGCGAAAAAGACATTAACTGAATGAAGACCAACATTTGGAGATACATATTCACAGCGCCACAGATCAGGGGATGTTTGACGGATCTTTACCGGTACACTGTTACTTTTTTGGGCAGGATCTAGGATAATGACTTCAGGAACTCCTTTACCGGCTCCTGTAATATTAAAAAATTAAGACACCCTAATCTTTTGGTCAAACATTCTCAATAAATTAAGCAAACACTTGAACTGAATGAAAAGAGTAAACTAGATATATATTATACTGTGTGTCCAGTAGTATGTATGAAATTCATAAGCACCCTTAGGCCAGTGAAGGATTCACACTGACGTGTAAATGTACTATGAACCTACAGATAATATATTACTATATATTGATAATTACTGCTAACTGTAATAGATATTAGAAATGATTCACAAGCAGATAAATCAAATTGAAAGTAGAAACTTTAGTAGAGCCCTAGTCAAATGTTTTAAATACTACAGTTACACTATCTATAGCTTAATATAATAATTAACTTATTTTTTATGTACCTACGTACCTTTGGTAGATATGTCGAAATACGTAGGGCGATTTATACAGTTACCATCTGGCTGGATTCCGGGTCCAGAAGCTGTAACTTTAGTAGGATCACCTGCGTGACCCTCCACCAGTACTTTGTAAGGACTCTTCGGGACTTCACGTCCTGCAAACTTGACGTTAACTGTATGCTCTCCTTCCATTTTCGGCGTGTAAACCACTGAGTACGTTAAATTTCTGTCGTTATTAAATCGGACTTCAACTGGTTCTCTAAGTCCCTTAGGATTTGTTACAGTTACATCAACTTGGCCTTTACCAGCTGAGAAAGTTTCAACAGTGAAGTTAGCTGGGGCCCCAACTACAGGACCTGTTGGTTCAATTCCAGGACCATATACTCTTACCCTTCAAAACCACACTTACTTTAATATTTTTGCCTATTACAAAAATTATTACCTATACAGTTTATAAATGATAAAAAATACAATCTCAAGTCATCATAATAGGTAGATTAATATAAGTACTACTACCTACATATAATTCCACAAAATTCAAATGGCATTTTTGTAGCATTAATTTCTTTGTAAGCGTTCACGAACAGCATATTTAACGTAACTGTTTATAAATTTTGGAATTACGAAAACAGAAGCATCAGCGTGTTAATCACAATTTAACATATAATTAATTAGATAGTTCAAATCAAAAATTTGTTATTTCATCTCAACGTCGCACTTACCGAGGTGGAGGAACGCTGATAAGAGAAAAAAAAATTTTATCATTTGCCAATTGTAAACTTTTTAAATGTTATGGTTTCACCCATTTTATGTTTTAACTAATTTTCTTAAATAATTTTAATGGAATAAAACATAAAATAGGACAAAAACAAAATTATAATGATATTTTCGTACCTGTTCGGATTGGTTTTTGGTCTCAGTGGAGCACCTGACTTAAGTTTCGCATTAGGATATTGAGACAAATAGGTCATCATAGATTGTTCGTCTACATTTGGACTAACCATTTCTTCCGGTTTTATAAGTTGAGGAATATTCAACCAATCATCTGCAAGTCCCATGGCCTCTGAAGCATTTTGCAGAGAATCTTTGGGGTCCCAGTCCTAAGTCGAATGATAGCAATATTTTTTTTGTTACCAAACTATTTTGCTATACACGTACCGGCCAATCAGGGCAAAGTCCTGGAGCGACAGCATCAACAAGAGCTCCAACTGCTTTACCATCTGACCAATCTGATGTGAAGTTGGTAATGGGCAGATCAGGAATTTTATTTTGTATCCAGTTGAGGAGCCTTTAATAATTCCATGTAAATATTCAAAATCTTTCGATTTTGCTGCTATAATTCTTACCTTTGTTTCGGTGTCGATCCTTGCGGCGCATTTCCATCATCTTCACCCTCCCACATGGGCAAAGAAATGGAATAGTGCAAAATAAGGGTCCATATCAACCCAAGAATTAACTTTAACTTACAGTCTACGATATGGGTGGAATCTGAAATAAATCACATCCAGTGTTAACATAAATATAAATANAAAGTGGGAAATAGTGAAGTATTTTATCAAGTTTCTGTAAACCTAATAAATAATTTCGTTTTAGTCTATTTGTTGTTCTTATGTATTTAATCATAAAAATACTAAATTTTCACAATATGGATCAAGTACATTTTCCCTCTGACATTTGGATGTTTTCGGCTTTTTCCTAATTTTAGCAAAAAAGTCATTTTAATACTTCTTATAAACACAAATATGTATATTCTGTTAACGCATAAAGAAGTGTCTGCCTAATAAAAAATTAAAAACACTTGCTTTTGAAGGAACATCAAAGGGTCCTAACCTTATTATTTTTTATCAAATAGGTACTACTCGTTATTTTACTTCGAAATAATACAATTATTTTTACCATTTTCTAAGATGATATATTAATATTTTGTATTGCAAATAACGCCGTAACTAAAATTACTTTGGTCAAAAAGTTTGGTCGCTGAATTGGTAGTTTCAATTTGCTCAAGTCAATGTGCGCATTTTTTAATGAAATCTGAAATGGGAAAATAAAAGCCCAGTATAAATTGTATCAGAGATCAACGACACCCAGACATTTCAAATGTAGAACTAACAGAGAATGGAGTCTACACAAAATTTAATTGATGTAGGTTGTTTAATCAACTTGAACCAAATTTTTTATTTGACGGTCAGTAATATATAACAATTACTTTATATTTTACCAAAAAACTTTAAAACCAAATAATGACAACATAATATGTTCTACAAACCCCATACAAAAGATTCACCAATGTTTTACCATGTTCTTTAATTTTTTAATTTAATCTAAATTTTAAGTTGTTAGTGTTATGTTAGACCTATGTTTCGTGTTTTTGAAATTCGGCACCGTTGGTTGGCCGCAGATATTCAAATAAGGTAAGATTCGAAATACAGAATTCAAAAACTTTTTAAAAAATTTAGGCAAACTAAATATGGAACACTAAAGAAACATAAATAATCGGTTATTTAATTACTAGCATTACTTTGTTTTGTTTAAATATTTAAGTTGCCAAGATAATTAAATTGTTTTCCTACAATTTTTGATATTATATTATATCACATCGCATACTAAAAAAATGTTACTTGGAAGAATCTTTTTCAAATAAACTTATATATACCAATGCTATGTACATATTACGTAATGCCCAAGGTGTTTCTCGTTTAACCTGTATTCTGAGTAGCCATAGTCGACAAATCTTTACTTCTTATGGTAATCATTCACCTTTACTAACTAGCTCACATACTGTACAATGTATATTATATACCCATGTGCGTTAAAATACATAAGTTTGATACTTTACTAAAGAAGTGCATTTACAGTTAAAACTACTTATAATTATTATACAACTATTCCCAGACAGACTTCACAGATAGATAGTTTGGGACGAAATAGGTTTATACTAGTGGTCAGTGACCAGATGAGGGTTCCATAAATAAGAATAATTAAAAAAGAAACGTAGGTGCTGGATCACCACGTGTATTTAAACGTAAATGATAGAGACTATCATGCTTGACACAATACAACCTAAAGAACCATCATTAAAAGAATTTCAATTTATTTAGACAAAAACCGACCAACGTGATTTAACTTTTAGGAAGCATCTAGGAATGTTTAGTAGTCTTTTTATCACTTTTCTCATGTTTTTTAAATTTTGGAGATACACCAATTAAAATTACAAAAAACAAAACTTGCAAAATATATAGAATAATTTACGCAGGTATAATTCTATAAATATTATGATAACAATAGTTAACCATAAAAGCCACCTAGTATCACTACTATACAAGAGGCAATTTAGGAAGGCGAAGTCCGCAATAAATTATATATCGAAGGAAACCCTTTTACAGTAAAATACGACTCCCTACTTTTTAAATAGACAAACAACTCCTTAACTCATCTACCTATTATCACTATTCCAAAAGAATGTTCAAAAGATTGTACGAGAGTCAAACAAAAAGTTAAGGATGTTGGTGGCCACCGTTCAACTTAATGGTTTAAAAAACTTCATAATTCGCAAATTTCTTGCATGACTGTTTCGCCTATTGGCGTACTTCACATTTTTTTAACGTGTTAGTCATCATATTACGATTATCTGGTCTGTGCAATTAATATGTGAGTCTTCTCGTCGGTATAATACTGTATGGGCATTCTTCAGACGCTAGACATGAGGAAAAAAACAATCGCGAAGAACAGGTTATTATTAACAACAAGCAGCTTAAAAGTATTACAAGGTCAAAAACGTCAGAGAGATTTGATGTGGTTCAGACTACACTTAAACACACGACTATTTTTATAACTATGAACAAAACTAATAACTATTTCCAGCAATACAACATTTAGTATGTCGTGACTAACGAAGAGAATTTGCAGAATTTTATATCATACTGTATGACGAAACTTTTCTTTCGGAGCTACGCCTTAGGTAGGTACTAGACACTCATTTGGGGGAAGAACCTAAAAAGGTGCCTAAACGCTGCAAGAAAATTATTCTCAAACCGTTTTATTACTTCTGATTTATTTGAGGAAATTGTTAAAAATTTAATTTGTTTATCAATAATGACTTGCGGCACAATCAAAGACCACAAAATGTGATGTTAATTATAACCATAATTTAAGTGTGAGATATTGATAATTGGTTATTCGCTTTTATATTAATTCTTAAACCGCCACAAGACCGTCCTGAGATAAGTAGAACACTTAATGAATTTACTTAATCAGATTATCCATTTTTTAGTTAAGTTATTCTTGCTACATCCTTGATCCTGACCAGTAATAAAAATTTCAGGACAATGACTTCTTTGTTAAATTGTATTTATATGTACAATGTCGTTATTATCATAAAATTTTCTATCCTTATCTAGTGCCGAACTACTATATTTTAAAAAAACCATCGGAATTCTTTCTTATTACGTGAAATAATAGGTAGCAAAGTTGTAAGTAGTATAGGCACTTGATAAAATACAAAGGTTTTAAGTGATAAAGTCATAAAACTGAAAGGTAGCCTAGGTATAAAAGGATTTGAGAACAATTACGTAGAAAATAGTAAAACCAACGATAAATACATACTAAATTGTGCACTTTACAAAGCCATTTAACAAGGAAAACATTAGACAATGTTCCTATTCACTTATGATTATAAAAGTTTTCCGGAAAAGGGGTTTATATCCTACACACTGTTCGTTACAATTACCAATGTTTTGTCACCTAGTTGTAACTTCTTGTCTACTACTATTATGCATTCGTAAACATAATATAATGTGATAAAACATCGCTGTTACACATAGGTAAACTAAATACACCCACTGATTCTTGATTCCAACATATAAAAATATAATAAATTTATGTTATATTAATTCACGAAAGTGGGAAATAGTGAAGTATTTTATCAAGTTTCTGTAAACCTAATAAATAATTTCGTTTTAGTCTATTTGTTGTTCTTATGTATTTAATCATAAAAATACTAAATTTTCACAATATGGATCAAGTACATTTTCCCTCTGACATTTGGATGTTTTCGGCTTTTTCCTAATTTTAGCAAAAAAGTCATTTTAATACTTCTTATAAACACAAATATGTATATTCTGTTAACGCATAAAGAAGTGTCTGCCTAATAAAAAATTAAAAACACTTGCTTTTGAAGGAACATCAAAGGGTCCTAACCTTATTATTTTTTATCAAATAGGTACTACTCGTTATTTTACTTCGAATACGTTATTAAAAAATATAATGTATAAAAAAAAAGATCACTGAATGAAACGAGTAAATTATGCTATTTATGTTTGAATCAGTGTTTTTGTAGATGACTTATTTAAATCGTTCTCGCACTTAAGTTATATCAAGATATTTAATGATAAGGGGGCAATTAGATTATTTAAATACAAAATATGCTAATATAAAGTGAAAGCATAAGTATATTAATAGTAAGACAAGGACCTGCCTTTTTAAACCGATTCTGGATGCTATTCAGATCGAGCAACAGAAGATATATTTTTAATTAAAAAAGAACGTCAAACACTTTTGCATTTGCAACATTTTATTTCTTTCAATTTTCTTTATACTTTATACCTACTTAAAATATTGCATTGGCAGTATTGTGGTTTAATATAAAAGAAAAACCCGTCAAGAAATTCTATGTCTATTTTCGGTAATGAAAGTTAACCAAGTTCTCTTTGAATGGGCATGCATACAAAAATATTATTGTACAAGGAAAATTTCATTATAACTTGCTGTCTGATATCATCACATCAGACAGTTTGGATTTAGTTCGTTAAATTGAAATAATTAATGTAACTTAGTCAAATTAGGGAATGCAATAAATGCTAACAAGACAAGCAAACTAAACGCAAAAGTAATACTCAGTCAGCAGACTGTCCGTATAATAAGCGAAATAAGCTTTATTCTTAGCTGACACTGTATTTTATTTGTAAAAATTCAATTTCGAAATGCTTATTAAAATTCACTTTATCAATGATAATAATAACAATAGGGTGAGCAATTACTACTGGCCCAATAATTTATTAAGGACTTCGCCTTTCTAAATTGACCCTAAATTACGAAATACCCAAAACTTCTCCTAGTTCTGTTTAGCTTGAAAAAAATTGAGGAAGAACGTAGTCAAATGTCTCACTTTTAATCAAATAACTTATTAGGGACTTTGCCTTTCTAAATTGACCCTAAAATACGAATTACCCAAAACTTCTTCTAGTTTTGTTTAGCTTGAAAAAATTAAGGAAGAACGTAGTCAAATGTCCCACTTTTAATCAAATAACTTATTAGGGACTTCGCCTTTCTAAATTGACCCTAAAATACGAATTACCCAAAAGTTGTCTTCGTTTTGTTTAGTTTGTTGCAACAGCCCTATTGATAAGAATGAAAGAAGTACAGATACTTAGTTCTCTAAGTCTAATGATTTATCGGAGACTTGGCCTTTCTAAATTTACCCTATAGTACGAATTACCCAAAACTTCTTCTAGTTTTGTTTAGCTTGAAAAAAATTAGGAAGAACGTAGTCAAATGTCCTACTTTTAATCAAATAACTTATTAGGGACTTCGCCTTTCTAAATTGACCCTAAAATACGAACTACCCAAAAGTTCTCATAGTTTTGCTTAGCTTGTTGCTATAGAATTATTGATAAGAATGAAGGGGTAGTAAAATAGTTATCTTTTGGCCAAATAACTTATTTAGGATGTCCCCTTTTTAAAATAATTCGTTTCGAAAAGACTTTTCCAATTTAAAGTTATATCAATAATAATAATAATATATTATTTTTTGG